TTTGGCGGCCGGTGATTTGAACACAGCTTCTCCGTTGTCATCCAGGGTATCGTACTCGTCTGTGGACAGGAGTCCACCTTTTGCGAAGTTTCTAAGTTCTGGTTTCAGCTAAAGCACTCGTTAAGCATGCACATATACACAATTCACAGTTATAACACTTACGTTAAAACATTTCTGCAAGTACAGTACGTATCCACAACCATTGACGAAATTGCGGAACTCGTTTTCGTGCTGCCCCGACGTCGTGAACTTCCTCTCGGCAATAATGTAGAGTTTGTCGACCTCTTTCCACATTTCATAGAGTTTCTTTGCTGAATGCGGCTTGAATGTAGATGTGTCAATGCCTAGAAAGAGATCGTCCTCAGCTACCAATTGATGTAATGCGTGGTCTTCAGGGTACGTATGCATAAAAGCAGACCGAACGTCCAACCAGAAGCTGCTTCTGTCGTTCACAGATCTTGTGTCCAGGTCATCACGAGGAGGTTTATTCCCAGACTCGCTGAATCGAGCGGCAAGGTCGTCAAAAAACAGAATATTGAGTAGGCGATACATGCAGTGTTTGGTCCGAGTGCCGATTGCAGTTTTGCACACTTTGCCATTCGAAGATCCCTCTTCACCAAGAAGTACACTACTGAAAGCTGCTTTCGCAACGTCGTGCCGAAGGAGAATGTCGATACGCTCGGTCTTTTTTTAATTTTGTTTTCACCCGCAGACCTCTGCGTGTGCACTCTTTCCTTATTTCATCTGCCGATTACGAGCTGTACACACTTGCCTGTGGTATTGGCTTTCTACTTCGCTTTCCATCTCTTGCGTGTTGCGGGCCGTCGGAAAATGCGGGTTGATCACATGTATTCAATACGTTCTGCGAAAATGTTTCAATCTGGCTATCGAGCTCAAATAGTCTATGCGGCATTGGCTCTTGCAACTCGAGTTGCTGCTGTTCAAGCCCATGCTGCAGCTGTTCTGCATACGGCAACATATCTCGCTGCAACCGGAGTTCATGTTGCCCGTGGTGTGAGACTTCGAGTAGGGAGAGTTCAGCCTCAGATAGTTCATGCTGCGAGGAGTTGCCAAGCTGCGAGCCTTGCGAGGCTTGGTGCTGCAAATGATTAGCCGGCCAGAGTTCGTGCTGTGATAGCGCGCTGGGCGTACGCGCTGCCTGTCCAGGAGATGACATTCTGTATGCAGCAACATGGCTAGTGAGCTGCTAGTAAAATACATATACATGCAGTTCAGGTTCACTTACTCTTTGCTGGTGGAGTCTTGGAATGTGCCGGCTGAGATCACTAAATATTTATTCGTAACCACCAGCTGTCGTTATTGATTGCTCGCAGTCGCTGGTTTTGGTCTCAACCGATGCGGACGCACGTTACTAAGCCATGCGCTGCGGTGCGGTGCGGTCGTGCCGGTTGAGAATCAGCCTTAGGCTCTATGTATTTCACCAGGTTTGCAACCTGCTTGAAAAGTGTGATGGGCAGAAATGCAAGTCGTGGGAAAAGTGGCTTTTTCTTGCAAATCGCCAAATGCCGTAGCCTAAAATTAAAAATGGTGTGTCTCCACACAGCCTTAAATTAGAAGAACGGGCCATTTGCACGATGGTTGGTAAAACTGGTAACTTGGCCGGGAAATGGTGTACAATACCACGTATTGTGGCTGCCTAGCTTGATCAGTCTGTACAGTACCACGTAGTGTGGACCACACTGTGGTTGCCTAGGTTGTTGAAGCGGTACTTCAGTATTACCGTATGGATAGCCAAATATCTCGCAATAACAAGCGAATTTGACTTTTGTTGCGGAATGTCGGTGAACTATGAAATGGATCTGAGTTACTATTGCGTTGCGCTTCTTATTATACCACTATTGTATTCATGTACCACTGAATAGTGTAGGCTTATTATTAATATGAAACGTTTGGCGGTTCCCCGGTATCCCCATCAGAAACCGGTATCATTTTAAGTTGATTTGAAATTAGTATGACTGAACTTGAAGTACTTATTCTTTCTGCTGTGTGTGTGACGTGAAGAACTCTCAGATGGAAAGTTGCTTACTGCGTGGCTTTGCTGAAGTGCTTGTCTTCTTTTTCAACTTCTTCTTGTTGCTACTGTTGGTGTCACTGGACGTGGCCTTGACATTCTGTAATGACTCTGGTACGTTTGGATAATAGTGCAAGTGCTGAGAGGGAGTGGAGAAGTATTTAGCTGATAGTGATTTTAACTTGCTCGCTGATAGCTCCTTGACAGGGTGGCGAGGGAGTCGCATGGATGAAAGAGACGCTTCAAAACTTGTCTTGACCGTGGGGCCTTGTATTCATTTGATCCCAGTCGTTACGAATCTTCTTAGCGGTATCTTCTCCTAGCTTTTCACATACACGTATATACGCGGTCTCTTTCCTGTCGACTCGTTCTGCACGCTTTCGAGGCGGGACGGTTGAACGTGAGCCGCCAGACGCCCGAGACGACATTTTCCGCAGCGACACCCGATCGAAACTGAAGATTGTGTCACAAGTCGCGACTGCCCAAAATAACACAATACCGAGCATATTTTATGCGGGACCCCGGGGTCCCGCCAAACGTTTCATATCATGTAGAGACATATCGAGACGAAGTTTCCAAGATGGGCGATCTAAACACTATTAATAAAGCTCACATTATTTGACATCGAGCTTAATAAATGGAGTATTAGGGCTATCCGTAACTGCTGTGTCTGTCGATTTTCAATAGCTTGATTTTTGTTTCGGGAGATTTAACCCGGGCCAAAGAATAGGCAGCATCATAAAAAAAGAAGTCTTCGTACAAGTTCAAGTAGCAAGTTCAATAGCCAACATGTATTGTCAATTTTGCCGATATCTGTACCATTATTAATACGCTCATGAGATTGCTCAATGATGTCAGCAACAACCGCGACCAGGATGGATCATCCGATGATGGTCATCGAGAAACGGATTTTCCATCGGTCTCTCCTCTTCCGTGCTCTATGTGCAGCGCCCCAAGCTTTGCCGCGCCTGCCGTCCGAGGTGATTGCGCCTAACGAGCGTTCTATGAGCAAAAGTTCTGACAGCCTTTCCAGCAGGTTTGCAGCTTGGGGTGGACCAAAGGGCCGATACGGTAGACTTGTCAAGCTGTCCGTTTGTGAGCACACCAACTTGACATCAGCGCGTACTGACCGTATTCGATCCGACTTCATCAAGCCACCCGTGACTTTGCGCTGGAGCACCCGTTACTATCGAGTCGGTTCTCTTCATCCAGAATGAGCGAGTCGGAGACATTCAGCAGAGCTCGACCGCGCGAAGTTTCCGTACCAGTCCAAAGATCATTGCTTGGTCCGCATTGCGGTTGTCAAATATGCCCATGCTCTGCAGCGTAAGTAAGGTTTGCTTGATCTCTTTGCAGCAAATTTATGTTTCAGAGGCGGGCGACAAACCAGCCTTTCGTGTTGTAGACAGTTGGGGGGACCTCAAGAGGTTGACGGAAGTGTGCTTCTTTGCTACGAGTCGATATTGCTCGCAGTAGTTCCTGTACATGCAGTGATCTTGACCGTACGCCTATAAAGGCAGATATTTTACTCGCTGACGTGCCCTCAAGCGTTAAGTGCGTCACACGAGTTGAGTCAGGAAAATTCCACCGGAAGATCGCGGTGAAGTGTCAGAGCGTCGGACCAGTGCATTTCGATTGAGACGACACAGTTCTGGAATTTGCAGTCGGGTTGACGATGGAGCTTTGAGGCCCCGGCACGATTTTCGCCAGCACAGGTTGTTCCTACCTACCAGATGCCACCCGACTCAATGCAAAAGGCAGCTTTGCTGTCATACCGCCGAGGTTGCCGAGACGCTCAAAAAATGCAAGTTGCCACGGTGAAATTGTCCGTTCGGCGGGTAAGAAACACACGAGCTGTCAAAAACCTGTCATATTTTGAAATGCAAGCAACCAACCGTTCCAAAAGTGTAAATATGAGGCATTTGTCTTTCAAGTAAACCTCCCTTAATTAATAGCTCGCAGTCGTTAAATTTGCAGGTGTTATTAAAAGTGTCCAGTCGTAAACTGCGATTTGGCGTTGTGAAAAGTGGCCTTACAACGAATTACCGTAATCCAGTAGACAAATATTGGTCTGTTCATTTCCAATTTATTATCCTGAACGAACGCCGTTGATACCGTAAGTCAAACTTCAGTCAAATGTAAGCTTCAAAATAGCTTTGAATGTTGCATCATAAGCGAGCGTTCGTACGACTACTTATATCTAGTGCATAGCGGTCCAATCTCTAATTGCAACTATTAATACCAAGCTTTTTGAAAAAAAGAAGCTACGCACGACGCCAGCGCCCATCATCCAAGGATACAAGCAGGAACGTTACGCTGCTGCTACTGTTTTGCATCATTGCCTCTTCGTGGCTCACCGCAGATTAATCCCATGATTAACGTTGAGTTAATGAAGACTTATGGCTATCACGGAGCTGCGCGAAAGGTAGTGCAAGATGCAGTAACTTCTCTGCCTAAACAGTACTTATGCATTTACACGTCCGGTCCGGACATCATTGCATTTTCTCACAGATTTGTGATTGTTTTGGACTCTGTTCTTTCTTGCACCACCACTCTTCAGCTTTTGGCAGCGATATTTTCTTAAGGAAGCCTCGAACGAGACGTCATGCACCAAAGCAGATCGCCAATCCCGCTGGTATCATCTGGGTTTTCTTTATGTATTATGAAAATGCTCATTAGTACAGTACAGTACAAACCGTACTTCATTTTACTGATTTATGATAGTTCGTCGGCCCAGCAAGGTGCTGTGAATATTTGGTGCATAGCGGGGGATCAGGCGTCGTCCCATCAATAGGCCCGAGCGTCCGCGACGTGCCTCTGCCTCCGCCACAACCGAAAAAGAAGCCACGCTGTCACTGCGCAATCTCGTGGGGATCAAGTGCTGGGAAGCGGCAGCAAGTGTTGTTGCATTTTCCCGTCACTCAACTTTAAGTCGTTTCGCTTTAGGTGGGCCAAGTCCGTTTTAAATATGAGCAGCCCCCGTCACTTTCGTCGCTCTCGGATGGAGCGCGCCAGCAGCGCTGACATGACCTCCTCCTCCTCCTCGTCGTCACTCTTTCGGCGCTTCCAGGGCAAGAAAAGCACCAGCAAGATGTCGCCCGAGTCGCTCGCCGCTTCGCAGCCACCTCCGCGGCATTCGCACCGCCGGATGCTCTCCAGAGACCGCAAGCGTCCCATGATGATTTACTACTCCAGTAACCCCGCTAATATTGTCAACGTTGACGATTCCAAGCTCAATTTAACCGTCCGCTGCACCGATGCCGCTGTGTTCACGGATGGCGAAATGTCCGAAGACGATTGCGACGATCGATTCGACGGCGATTCGAAATTGCCAGACTTTGCCGCCAGTATGGGCCCGAGGGACACGATGGCCCGTAGTCGCGGACCGGGGCGCGCGCTCATGCGCATGTCCCAAACCTTTAGTCGCGCCTCGGAGAGGATCGACCCCCACTCCAACGGAGAAGGACGTCACCGCCGCGCAGCGAGGCAAAGTGCCAAGTACGACGTGGCCTGGCGACAGGACAACGAGAGTGAATGCTGCCAAGTGTGCTTCGCTATGTTCACGAAACTTTCCCGGCGTCGCCACCACTGTCGCGTATGTGGCGAACTGGTGTGCGGCGCCTGTTCGCAAGACCAGGTCTCCCTTACCGATAAGTTTTCCACTCCGCGCCGTGCCTGTGTTGCCTGTTGCAGCTTGTTGCAAGCTATGGCACGATCTGGCGACGACCGTGTCAAAGTCGTCGAGTCCGACATGGCAACGGCAACTACAACCAAGCGTCACCACAAATCGGCACCTGCGCCTTCAACTTGCCACTCGCCCGTCAGTGCCTCAATGCCTGCACCCGCGGCAACTCCTCGCTACCGTGACCGACTCACAGAAGTGCACCGAGTCATGGCAGCCGGCAAATTGTCACGTCGTCGTGGCAGCTCTGAAAAGAAAATGTATGTGATTTCCAGTCGCTGGCTGCGCAGCTGGCTGGCGTTCACTTCGTCCGCTTCGAGCTCCAACTCGAGTCGCAAGTTGGACTACGGATTTGACACGGAAACGTCAATCTCGTCCCCTACCAACGATGATGTGGCCAGCATGGGGCGCGCCCCCGGTCCAATCGACAATTTGTCACTGTTGGAACTGGCGCGTGGCAAGCTGATCCGTCGTCCCGGTCTCATCCGTGACGAGGTTCTTGCCGGTGATGCGGCAAGTGCCGGTGAAGATGCGGACTTCCAATTGTTGTCGCCAGAAGTTTGGGAAGTTTTCCAACGCTTGTACGGCGGAGCACCTGCCATTTATGTCAACTTGACCAGTGCCGACCCGACGGCTTGGATCGTTGACGTATCGGGCTTGCTAGCTGCTGGCACGAACGACAATGGCACAAAAGTGCCGGTGCTTCCGGCGGTGGAACGTGCGTTGACAAGCCGACACCACAGTGAAAATGGTTTAATCGACCCACGCGGTGCCCGAACTCCAACCGAGTCAGATGTTTACACACCAGGGAGCAGTCGATCCACCAAGCAACAAACGCCAAAGAGTCCGGCGTGGACAGCTACTAGCAGCAGCAGCAGCAGCTCATTGAGCGAAGACAAAGACCGTGTTCGCAGTCCCACGGGGAGTGGGAAGATGCAACTCGAAGACTTGGAGTCGGACGTCGCAGCCTTGTCGATCGGAGTGAACAAGACCCCGACCGATGGTGAAGATGATATGAGGGCCACGACCTCAGCGCGTAGCCCTACAGCTGCTTTTGCAGCGTCGGCGTTCGCTGTCGCCATGAAGCAGGCGAGATTGAACGCCCAGAAGGCCATTGATGATCGCGCCTCGCGGGTCATCGCGGCCTAAACAACTTCCTGTGCTACTCCACAGCAACAGAAGCAGTATTAAAACACAGCGCCTATCAGGAGACAGCTCTACACGACAAGTAGGCTAGAATACCGTGATCGGCGCACTTTTTATCTATAAACACGACATGCATGAAATAAAAACGAAGGTTTCTAGTGCCAAGGATAACTTTGTGAGTCTTTCCAACCCAATCGAAGGTTATTTTTGGCCCTGTTCGATCGATATCGATAGTACAGTGGTAGAATTTACGAGAGCTCGCCTCGATTTTGCATGGTCTCGATCTTCAATGGTGTTGCTCCGATCTCGTCGTAACAAACTAGGAACAGGTTTGCGGCCTGGTGATAATGACGACGGCTCGAATGTCCGAAATCAAGCTCAGACTCGCGAGATTCGACGTCGTGGTGCTCTTTACAATGTGAGTTCATCTAATGGTAGACGACTACCGAGTGTGAGTCTTCAACCCGCCGATGCTCGCGTGCGACGCGATCTACTGAGACTGACGCAACTGGAAGACAAGAGAGTCGAAAGTGAAAAGAAAAGTGTCTACGAAGACGAGCAAAATGACTGCAAACACCGCGAATACCTCAACTATCGACCGCCTATGGATCAAATCCACAAGTTACGAGATCTGCACACGACCGTCGCTAAGGATTGTCGAGAGCGTGTGATCAACCGAAACTCTGGCTCAAACCAGGAAGATAACACGAAAGCGGAGTGGCGTCTCGGGTACAGCAATAGTGTTGACACAGGATCGCGAGCAGGCGTTGGAGGCACTTTTGAGCCTCGCGATAAAACTCGTGAGCGAATTCTCGACTGGCGAAGTGCTGCTGCATTGCTACCAGACTCGGTCGTGGTCGCGTATCCTCTGAACAAGTTTGACAACCAGGATGAGACAAAACGGAATCAGCTCGTCAATAGCCCACGTCGTCGAGTAGTCAAGAAAAAGCCATGGTGCCCAGCGTCCTCTTCAAAGTCTCCGAGCTCTGTCAACTCTCGACGGCGCTATCCCGTAGAACGCTTCACTTTTTTCGGTGTAGAGGAGAATGGAGACACGGATTTCAATGACCACGACGGACTCCAGCGATTTCCAATACGCAGAGTGGAATCTTTTGAGTCAACTGAGGAGACTGAAACAGAAGGTGTCGTGGATCCACGTTGTGCAGATAGACAGCAATCATTATGCACCAAAGCAGCGGAGACGTTTTCGCGGGTTCGAGCACGTATAGACCGCTTCAAAGAGCCCCACTTGCGGTATGAACTTCCAGTCGAGGACCCGGTGCAGTATCCTCGATCCTATCGTCTGGGCTTAGATGATGTACTCTCGACTGCATCGGTTAAGATGATACGTAACGAGAAGCCGCACTTCCGCCCGAAATCTGCTGGTGCTAGCGTGGGCTTCCAAACTAAAAGTCAAGCGCAAAAACCCGATGACTTGTTAGCGCCAGGATTCAACGAAAGTGGAAAGGTAGCTGGAGCTCGACGTAGACCTCATTCGGCTAGTATCACATTCTTCACGAATTCAACAGTGTATTGTATGGGACCAGCTACCCCATCGAAGTCAGGTTGCATCTCCGCTGCCTCCGATTTTCGAAGTGTGGTCGACGTTGAATGTCAAAAGCGGCTACGAGAGCGTGATGCCATCTTGCAAAAACTAGCTAAGCGTGCACTACTGCATTCCATCCCCTTAGCCCAAGTTTTCGCCAGGTTACGACGTGAAGGACTCTTGAACATCGATCGACGAATCCAACGAAATATCTTTGAGCGAATGACCCTGGATGAATACATGAGTACGTGTGGTTGTCTTAATAGTACCACGATTTCGATGCAGACTGAAACGTCAGGCTCGTCCCTACTAAAAGAGGCCAAGCGGTTCCTGAAGAATACTGAGATTTCGGATTCCGGCGGATTTTCATCGGTGGATACATCGCCGTCCCTGATAACTACGCGCAAGACTTTGGTGGTGTCAAGGCAACAGTTCCATCTTGCACTCGAACCTTTCAACTTGTCTTCGACCGATGTCAACTTGCTCTACTCGGCGTTGGATCTAACAGTGAGCGACGTTGTGCAGGTTTGGGACGTTATCTGTACCGTGGAAATGCTTCAGATCGAGCACACAGCGATACGTCGTGCACGAGTGCAGCAACTGCAGGCTCCACCTGCGAAGGACTTGGAATTCTTTCGGCGAATTATTAAGTAAGTTAGAACAGATAACTGAAAGACACCTTGTTTTTTTGTGTTTCGGATTGCGTTCCTCAACGTCGATTGGGAAAGGAAGGCAGCATGCATTGCGATCTGCAAATGCTGCTTCGTTTCCACGACGCGAGAGGAATTCATAAAAAAAACTGATAGGAAAAACATCGACTTCCGTTGCTGTGTGGCTGGTTCTCAGTGCTTCTTGTCGCGGTGAGACTATAGCGGCTCCACTCCGAAAACAATTAAAGACCTACTGCACTGAGAGGTCCAAGCGGCTAGAGCGGATGAAGATCCCATGGTTTGGAGCACAACTGAAGTACTTTTCGCCATCGACAGTGCCACTGTTCTTGCCTTTTGGCTCGCACAGCTCAATGCCCACCCACGTACCCGTCGCAAATCGCGTAGTGCCAATGTATCGCACCACGCCTGGCACATTCCCGACGTTGATAAACTTCCCAGCACACAATGGAGCGCCGTTAATATACACGACGTTACTGCCTGAATGGCGACGCGCTGTTGCCCGTGTCGGCGCTCCTCGTATTGCGGGGCTGTCCGTTGTGTTAGCAGGTGGAGTCGTTACCTGTACGCCGTGCATATCCCCAGTCTTCGGAAGATACACATCTGTTAGCGAGTGGAGTGACTCGCTCCGAGCACGACTGACTAGAGGAGGATCCACACTCGCCAGTAGAGAAGGTTGCAGTCTGATTTGAGTTTCTGGTTGCTGTCTCTGCGCACGTTTTCGCTGCTGTTGTAGTAGCATCTCCTGTCGGTATTGCAAGGAAAAAGTATTTACCGGAAGCGACCGACGTCTTGGTCCAGCCGCCGCTACTAGTCGATCACGTTCGGCTTTGGTTGCTGTTTGTAGTGCCTGGTCACGGGAGGTTGAACGTTGATAAGTGATTGGAAGTGGCAGATTTTGGGGATCGAAGAGGACGATTCCCTCTCCTTTTGTTGGAGAAGATCGCGGACGAGATGTTACTGGACTGGCAATGTTGCTACGTGGACTGCTATCGTCGTTTCTTTGGGGACTGCGGTCTTTTGGAGAGTTGCTCCCATTACTGCTGTTGCTTGCTCGATTCTTAGCCTCATGCCACAGAGACTGGATGCGGTCGAGAGGATGGCTGAGATTTAGTGTTGGCTTGCTCAACCGACGAAGCTTAAGGCGGAGCTTGGGCGGAGACGAAATCGGACTTTTAGTCTCCGTTTGAGGTTGAGCTTCATTCTCCTGATTGGAAGATGTGCTAGGTGCGGGTGTGCTCTCCTTCATAGACTTGAGAGCACTCTCCATGTCCTGAATGAGTTCGTTGTACGCCAATACGTCACTAGCGCAGGTACTGGCATGGCGACTGTATACCGAGGCTCCCGAGCGGCTGGCGAGGTCTGGAAACTCGTTTGAGAAGTCCGACCCCGTGCTCGTCGTCTGTGTAAATCCATCCGCGTCTCTGGCCTCGGGAGCTTCGTCCGAAATGCCAAAGTAGTACAAATCCCAGAGCTGCTTGTCCATCAGTTGCTCCTGGTCGCCACCGGAACGTAGACCGAAAGATCCCGTGGGAGGTGTTGGGGCTAGTGGGGGGCTACCAACGCTCTTTGCCTTGGGGGGCGTGCTCTCTCCTTGAGTTGGAATATACATTGTGACCCCTCCACTTCTTGACACGATAACTTTATTCGAGTAACTCTCGCTCGGTTGGGGCGAGGCGTCACATTGATCATGCCAAGGGACATCTCGACAGGTCTGCACAAGATCGCGGGGCTGAAAGCGAGCCTTACGTTGGCGCGAGATGATATCAGCAAACTCAGCGCTGGGCTGCGACGTATCATCCGAGTCATTGTCTAGCAGCATGACGCTAGAGCTTCGAACGCTCACAAGATCGCTATTTCTTGCTGGAACGGGTGCAAATTCGAGCGAAATCTGCAACAAACCGGCGGCATTTCCAGTTAGTGGAAGCCAATGTGGACCCAGTCGAATCACCTTCGATCCACTCCCGTCGGACGCTTCTTCCTCGAAGGCACAACCTTTAGAAGAAAGCAATAAATCCTCTAGAGCTACTTTGGCCGAGCCTACAACACGCTCTCCGCACACCACGTCGATCTCAAGCTTACATTCACTGGCTTCGACACCGACGCTGGGCCTGTCGCCATCTGCTACGTCCGGTTGGCCCAATGCCCACGCGAAATGCCCCCCTAGACCATCACGCGCCACGTCGTGTTCTCGACGCCAAACAGGGTTCCTCTTGTTCCCTAAAAAATTACATGGAGACTGCTGTACGGCTCCTAGCAACGTGCACCTAACACGCAGCCCGTGTTTATCATACAAAGCGTCTTTCATTGGCCATGACGCGTTAAGTTGTCGAGCTTCGTACACCCAGACGTGCAGCTCCCCTTCAGGCACACTGTCGCTCAAGCGATCCACTGGTTCGTCCACCGTCGACATGATCATAATTGGCGCCTGTGGCGTCGCACAGGACGTGCGGCTGCTCTCGAGCATGGGCAGGTCGTCGTCCTCGGCTTCGTCTTCATTCGATGAATCGTTGGGTTGCTCCTTCCACCGCAATTTGGCCGCCAGCTCGTAGGCTAGTTCAGCTCCCACATCGTCGCCCGGCGCCTTACTATTCGGCATTAGATTCGCCTCAGCGAGGGCCGACTCGGGCTCCTCGTCGTTGTTACTGACTAGCATGTGGTGCTCACAAAGCAAACTCGATAGTGAGCCATTGCAGTCTAGCTCGCGCCGTCATCATCGTTTCCGGAAGTTACCCCCGACGAATTAGCGGCAGACAGGAGGAATCGGATCAGGAAGAATAGCGAGGCCGTCGTTTCGCCACGGCGTTATAAGCAAGATCTTTGGCAGACAGTTTTCCACTTCAACGTGACTCATGTCTATGTAGCAAAAACAGAAATTCACGGCAACGGCGTAGAGGCTCATCTTGAGCGACGGACGTCCGCCAGGGTATCGGATATGAAGCGACGGGGAGAGTTGTGAACGAAGATATTATAACTGCCGCATGGAACCACCGGCTAGGGAAGAGTAGCCGCTTCGGGAGGCATGCACTAACTCTCAGCTTGCTCGCGTGTCGCGACTCGCGACACAGAGCTTACGGTCAAGAGAGCGCTCGCGCGAGCGCTCTGTTGTTCGAAGTATCTTTCCAGAGTAGTGAAAGCCGGTGCACGGTACCGAAGCTGGATGTATAACCCGGGCCACAGCAGGATCGGTCGATGATCGACTCGATCGGTCAGGGTGTAGGCAATGCCTACTAGGCATGACGGTCTAGCTAGTACAGTAGTGCGTAGGCTACAAGTTGTAGCTAGTGCTACAGCACATGTAACACAAATTCCCAGTTGCACCGTGCTATGGAGATGAAAGATAAAATCATTTCAGCGGCACGATATTTTGATGAGCGCCGGAACTCTATCGCACAAAAAGTGCTTTGTGCTGCTGTTCTAAGGTGCACTAAGCAGTGAGGAATCCGTGTTCAGCGATCAGTAAACACTTGGAGGAGCAGGGTGCTGGTACCGTATTTGAGATCTCCTCCTAATTCAGACTGCCCTCCAGCCAATCACATATCGAGAATGGAACAGCGCACAAGTCTAGATCTCCTAATTCAGAGTACAAAAAACATGCTAAACTGTAACTATCTACCGGCTCTATGGCCAATGGCAGCGCTATTAATATATTCAATACAGATTGGGTGGAGAACATGTTAAAACAACTACGCGCTTCAACTTCGACGCTTCCGTTTAAGATAAAAGCACCTACACGGCAGCAATTAATAGGCTGGACGAAGAATTCGTGGAATGCGTTGTCTCGCAAAACGGTTAGAAGCGGATTTGAGAAAGCAAAAATGGTATCCATTGAGCCTACTGAAAACTTAGAGGCTGGAACGGAGCTTTCCGACAGTGAACCTGATTGGGAGCTGCTACGACGGTTGCTGGAAGAAGTGCCAGTAGTGCGCCATGCTGTGGATACGCGTCACGACATAGAAAACTTCGTAGTTCCCGAAGAAGAACTTGATAACTAAATTGTTTTGTTTAAATAATACGTGATAGAGATGCGTCGGTACGTGTACAGATCTTGTGTATATTGCAACAATACAACTTCTAAAATATTGGGTCTGAAGTAGGAGATCTCAAATACGGTAGTGCCCACCTGTGTGCGAATGACACTATTATCTCTCTAATCATCGAGCCGACTTCAAAACAGAAACAGGACTTTCATTGGGGTTAAATTAAGGCCGATGCTACAGTCCATGCGTCGACTCAGTTTATTTTCCATGTAATACTCCATGTAATGTCCATGTGTCGAAATAAATTACTTACCATTGTTTTTAAAATCCATAGTGAATAGAAGTTGCTAGACCTTCGCAAACGAAAGTCCTCTGACATCTCTCGTACATACCGGTATACAGAAGTCAGGAGGTCAACCATACGCATGAACATTAGGCGGGTCGATTCCAGTTTCAATAGAAATGAGATTGTATTAGTTGCATTATGGCTTGCTACCGTGAAGCACGAAGTGAAGGATGCGGAAGCGTAACAGCGTTAGACCAATCGGAGTTACGTCCAGCGACACACTCTTGTCTACATATCGCCAAAACCTCAACATTACGTAGAATCCGCAGTTGTATCCGTCTGTCTGGATCGGTCCATTGACGGACACAACTTTGAAGTCGTCGCTGAGCGTAGTAGCCAGATCCCACGACATGCGGTCTAGTACGTCCTTGTACGTCTTCAGGTTCATTGAGTCGTAGTACAGGACATTGTTCTGCTTGCCATCCACGATCATTGCACACCAATGCATGTTCCCAAAATTTACAGGAATGAGCAGTACATCCGCTTCAGTGAGTAGTTCCTGAACCTTTGTCTTCATTTTTTTACTCATAGATTTCTTCTTCTTTGACGCCGAGGCTGCCTCGACACCGACGATGCGAACGCCGGTGCCCGTCCTGTACAATCTCGCGCAAAAAGCCAAAATCAGCGCATCATTAGCCCATTGGGGCGGCTTGAGACGGTACAGCATCGCGTAGTGGTAATCGTTGCCGTCAATTGGGATGGTATCTTGGGGATAGGCGCGAGCAATGGCCTCTGCCATGCTCTGAAGTGTCGATTGTTGTGCTGCTGGTATGGCGCTGGCTGCATCCTGTGTTAACCATTTGGTAAACGCCATTCCATCATCACACGAACGCTTTACGTTTGCTAAGTATGCCATGGCCTCAATCTGTTCGCGTGAAAATGTTCCGATACCCGCGATGTAGACACACTCGATCTCCGGGTTTTGTCCGTTGCTGTCCATGATTTGTCCAGGTATTGTAGATGTTTCTTCGTCTTTTTGTGTAGTTTGACTCTGGGTGAGTACATCGATGGCTGTTTCATTGGTGTTGCTCACAGGCAGCACGGCAACGCACTTGTCCAACAGTTTGGGTGGAAGTAGGTAGAGCGCGTTTTCATTCAGCACAGGCGCACTCTCTCTAGTGTACTTGGGTTTCTTGCTACCCGCGTTGTTGTACTTGGTTTGGAGTGGCAGAACACGACGTAGAGTGTCTTGAAGTGGAGGCTTCTCAAGTTGAAGACTGCGCGCAAGTTGTATTAATGTCACCTCTCCAAGACATCTTCTATGGACTTCTGACTCGTTAAACAACGCTCGTTTCTTCTTGTCGTCTGCTTCTCTCTCCTTTCTGTTCAACCGGGGCCTACCAGACTTCGCAGTTTTGGGGTTCAGACGGATGCGCAATCAACTATCAGTATTTTTCTCTTCGTTGTCATCAGGAGTGGTCTCAAGCGCAAGCTGCTCCATTTCGGGCTTGGTTCCGGTTCGATTTCGGCTGGTTGTCACTGGAGAGGTCACTTCATCTGTTTCTGTTTCTTCTCTCGTGACTGGAACCTTCGTGTTTTCAACCTTTACACGTTTGCGCTGCCTAATGTTCCTACATTGTTGCACGACCAAGTCTAAATGCTCACGGTACTCGTCGTCATCAGAGATATCGGCTAGCTCACTGCATATAGACTGGAACGCGCTGACTGCCTCCTTGTACTTAACATTAGCGTCAAGCACCTTGTGTTTCGCCTCCCCTGGTTTAAACTCATTAAGCACAAAAGGCCGCGGAGTCATCGGTTGTTCAGCAGGATGTAACCATCTAAATGAATGACATGTCAGACCCTCAGTACAACATCAATATTGGATATTACATGGACAACTCACGGCTTATACGTGGATAAATTGTGAGTTAACCCACCTTTCATCGATGCAACTCAGCGGTATTACGCTTCCTGGGGCGTTACTCCACTTCCGAAACGCGATCGCGTGTTGACAAGGCAGACGCATTGCAGAAGCAAACGAGCAAGTGCAGCTCCACGTTTTCAAATCCACAGCATGCGTCTTGTGTTTACCCGTCACCTCCACGAAGCCTGGATTTGACTTTAAGTCGAAATTGAACCTGTCGACCTTCGAACATGCCATTACGTACTCCTTCTCCACGTGTGTTGCTACGAAATGCGTCGTAAAGCGCAAAACTTGGCACATCTCCTCGTCGTAGTTGCGGTTGACACGTAACCCGATCCTAGTCTTGTCGAACACGTATTCACTGGAAGTCCTGGCATCAGCACCCACACGGGCCTTCACGGTGTCCGTCATGGTCATGTTGGAGTTTACCCCGTCCTTGAAATGCCCAAACCAATTCTCTAAATGGTTGTTCGTGTGGACGCGCAAATGTGCCAACCGTGAGCGTTCGTACATGACCCACATCTCCGTACAAGTGTTCCAGTTTTCATCCATGTAGTTGTAAAATGCCATATATCCAGTCCTAGTGCAAAGTGCCTTCATGGAGGTCCAATTGGTCTCGTAGATCTCTGAACTTAAGGCATATACCATGTTGTGGACTAATGCGTCGATGGCGTCGTGATCGTCCGACGAAAGTTTACCATATACTGGCTTCCTGGACGCTGTGCGGAGATATTTGATGACGTGAAAGACGCAAATCAACACGCGCGACTTAGGGAAGTACCGACGCAACACGCGGATCTCATTCAGATCTTTGTCGACCATTATAACTTGAACCTTGTCGCCAATCTTATCGTCAATCCGAAATAGATGATCCAGCGCTCCGGACATCTGCCAATCGGCGTTTCGTTCGAGCAAAGACTGTTGTACAGGCTGCCCACGCCCATTGTCGTCTATCATCATGAAGGTACAAAGCTGGTAGTTGTATCTAATGCACATTACATGGACAAGAATCGCACAATACATCGGCATGACATTAAAATAAGCATGGACAATACATGGACAAATAATTGCACAATACATGGGAGGACTTACCGATTCGTTTTGTGGGTACAGTCCACAAGCAAAAGCTCTGGAAACCTAGTAACCATGTCGCGCATATGTCTGGAAGTCATACTGATCACACCAGAGTGTCCCGCATCAGTTTCGTCCACCGTGACTACGTTACCGTCAATAGCTGCGAATTCCGCGAGAGTTGCGGCGCAAGCGTCGTCGTCATTCAACCCTCCTCTTATCTCTGCTTTAACACGTTGCACAATGTTGTCCACATCCTTCTTGACGAGGTTCTCGCCTCTCCCCAGAAGATACTCATAGATGCGTGCGCGCTTTCTACCGTACATCACCATGCTGTCCACAGCATCCTTCGTGTCCGTGTCGTCCAACCTACGGTTCTCCGCGTACGTCTT